ACTCGGTGCAGTCGGATATCTGGAGCATGGGGCTGTCCCTGGTGGAAATGGCCATTGGCAGGTACCCCATCCCCCCTCCRGACTCCAAGGAGCTGGAATTGATGTTTGGCTGCCCCGTGGAGGGGGATTCTCCAGTGACAGAGACCTCGCCCAGGCAGAGAGCCCCCGGCCGGCCGATGAGCTGTGAGTTACAGCACGCTTCCATTCATTCCCTTTTCTGGCTGCTTTGAGGTCTTTTTTATCTGATCTTGGTCTGCACAGTGGGGCTTTAAACTCTTAAAAAACAGGGTTGCATTGGGCACCTGGCTCTGCTGCACTGTGGGGAGCCATCTGAGAACAGAGCACTGAGACCCATTGTTGATGGTTCTCATGATCAGCCCCGTTACTGAGACCCTGCTCTGTTCCTCTGGCTCTCTGAGATGCTGACCCAAGTGCAGCAGAGGATTCCCAGKGGAGTGAATGCTTTGGATCAGACCTGGGAATGTCTCCTGGCAGGAAAGCATGACCCTGTTGCTGCTGCACCTTTTTCCTGTAAATCTGCTGGGTGCCAGGTGTCAGTAGTGTCAGATGTGGGTTTCCTAAAGCACCCCTGCCATGGAGGGAGAGTAACTGTGTTATCCCATTTATCCCTTTCCTCCCCAGCYTATGGATCGGACAGCAGGCCCCCAATGGCAATCTTTGAGCTTCTGGATTACATCGTCAATGAGGTAATTTATRAACATCCAAATCTGCACTTTACCACTGTGAATTCTTAAAGCATCCTGGAATCTGGGGGCTCGGTGCTGTTTAGTCTAATGACCAACCTAATTCACAGTTCTTTTACCTTTCAAACAGCTGAGCTCCAAGGCTGGTTGGAGATTGATATTTTAGAATGGATTGTGTGTCTGCAGTATTTTCACAAGTACCACTGAAACTTGTGTGACTCCACTGCTCACGCTCTTCCAAAAATAAAATAATAGCATGTCCATGTTAGYTGTCATTTGTAGCAGCTGGATAACAATTGTTCCAGCTGGATGAATTATTGAAAACTGTCCAGCTCACCCATTTAAAAGGCACAGTTGATGTCTGGGTGCCTGCATTGCCTGTGCCACTGATAAATTGATAAATTGCTTCTGTAACTCATCCGCTTGCACAATTCTCTCAGATTACAAATCTATTTTGCATATTATATAACACTCCAATCTGCCAGCACTAGCTCTGGGGATAGAGTGAGCATTGAATTACTTCAGCTGCCGTGGCCCTGCCCTTGCAGCACCCCTGAGGGGGTCAGTTTGGGCTGAAAAGCTGCAGTAGATGAGAATTTGGCAAGATTTTCGTGTGCCACCTCTGATTTAGCACAACCACCTTCAAGCAAGGGAGGAGTGCAGGCCTTGTCTCTGCTCTGTACAGAAAAGTGACCCAGTGGAGGTGTTTGCAAGGCCCCAGTGTGAGGATGAAAGCTGATCCTGTAGCAGTCCTGGAGGACAAGGCAGTAATGTGCAGGTTTATGTGGCCCCTCTTCTTTATTTGTCAGAATTCTTTTTGAATTCAGAGCCTGAACAAACTCATTCCCAGGGACAGGAAATTTAGATCAAAAGTATTATGGAAGTATTGATGTGCAGGGCATCTTCCCTTAGCAGTGTGGAGAATGACAGGGTGCTAATTAGTGCTCTGAGCTTTCTTTGATGAGGCTGTGCTCACCCTTTTCAGGAGTGTGTGGAGAGAAAATCAAACAAACAAACCAACAAYCAAATAAAACCCAACAAAACCCACTCCATAACAGGGAAACTCTGATTTATTACTGAAACACCTGAAATCCTGCAGCTGGGAGTAACAATCCAAACCAGGCAGGGTTTTACAGCTTTGCTCAGGTGGATCGTGGATTGTGATGTGTTGGTTATACTCAATGATTGCTGRTGTTTAAAATGTATTTATTTATTTGTAGCCACCTCCAAAACTGCCCAATGGTGTCTTTGGCTCCGAATTTCAAGATTTTGTTAACAAATGGTGAGTATTTTGTCTGTGATTTCCCTCTGGCCGGGTGGCAAAGGGACAGCCCTGCTGTGTGTGTCTGTCAGGCACAGAGTCACTTGGCAGAGTCACTGCTCCAGTCCAGGGCTAATGGAAGGGATTGCAATCAGCATAATCCTCTTTGTGTGTTAAAGTGCCTGAAGTTCACCTGACAGGCAGCACGTGCACCCAGAGAGAGCCCCAGGGCTCAGAGGTGTTCCCCTCTTCAGCCCTGGATTTCTGCTGCTGTCTGCAACTGAGATTATTCTTTAGGGACTGATGCCACAGTTAATTTATTAAATATATGTATTTACAGCTTCCAGAAGGAGGAMCAGTAGTGCAATAACCCTACTTGGTCCTGAGCTTGAAGAGACTTGGGGGAAAGAAACATGAGGGATAAAGTGGTTCCTGTTTTAGTTGGAATGGGATTTATCTCTCCAGCTTGGTTTATCTAAAACTCTCTCTGAGATTCATCAGTCTCAGACAACTCAGGATTTCTTACCCAGAGCTGTGGAACCCACAGAAGGGAACTGCAGGCTCCCATCTCTGTTTGAGAGCACCTGATGCTTTTATCGAGTGCTGTCATCAGAGCAGAGCAGTCCCAACCAACATGACACAACTCGATCCTTATTTTCAAAGACAACAGAGTGAAGCTTGTGTAACGCTTTGTGTTTYCCCAGTTTAATTAAAAATCCTGCTGAGAGAGCTGACTTGAAGCAGCTGATGGTAAGTGAAGGTTTTTAATTCCATCTAAGAGCACTTTCCCAGGCAGGTTTGGCTTCCTCAGCTGGCCCAGAGCAGATCAGAGCAGGTGGCCTCGAGGGCAGCTGGTGGCCCTGGAGCAGCTCAGCTCCAGGAGGAGCAGCTTTTCTGAGATCAAGGGGCTGCAGTTTCACACCATTCTGCAGGAGGGGCTGTCAGGGAGACCAAAACTCTGCTGGGCTGTGGAGTCTGATTTGCTAATCACAACGGGTGACTTGGATTAATTAGCAAAAGAATTCTCTTTCGAGTTATGAGTTAATAATATTGATGAATACTTTTAGGAGGACAAAAGAACAAAGCTCCACATACCATATGGACTAATTAAATACGTTTTTAATCATCTGTTGTGAAACACAAAATTTCTGTCTTTTTTACCAGTTTTGTCTTGCAAAATCTGTAGAACTAGACACAAACAAATCCTGCATTTTCCCTGTATGAAATCACCGTATCAGTTTCAGTGCATCTTTTTACAGTTTTCATGTGCAGTGCCAGGATTTCAGTCRTACTGCAGAAAATCAGGTTTTCCCTGCCCTGATCCTGCTGCACAGTAATGGTGCCAAATGCAGGCAGACTCTTTCTATTACAAAAAAGCCTTTCAGTGCCCAGGCAGACATTTTCCAGAGCATTATCTCGAGTGGCTGAGTCACATCCTTATCGTTTCTGCCGTGTAAGTGCTCTGCAACAGGCACCGGGGCAGGATTCCTCTGGGATGCTTTGCCATGCGCCGATTGTTTCTGCAATCCCATGGCAAAGCTTTCCGCGCGGTTTGKAAAGTTTTACAGCTTGATGGCTGCCGGTGGGTTTATTGGGTTGGGTGTTGCTGAGGGTGTTGTYATGCTGGCACACTGACCCTGCTCTCCCGTGCCCAGATCCACGCTTTCATTAAGAGATCCGAGGCRGAGGAGGTGGATTTTGCGGGGTGGCTCTGCTCCACCATCGGCCTTAACCAGCCCAGCACCCCCACGCACGCYGCCGGCGTCTGAGCCCGGCCCAAAGCTCCTGGACTGTACCTCTGGTAACCACCACGCTCTTCTGGTCCTCCTTCCTCAGCTTGTACCTGTTCAAACATGTATTTCACCTCTTAAGGAAGAATGTCTTGATAGCATGTGCCAAACGGTTTTAAATCTCGTCCTAAACTAATTGGTATCGTACCGGGTTCCGTCGTTCACTGACCAAATGTAAGCTGTGTAAGTTCCAGTGCTTGCTGATTTTAGGTGATTATGGATATTCTTTCTTAATGAAAATATCACTGCGTGGGGGGGTCGGCCCCTGGCTTGTTTGAACTTTATCAAGACTCTTTGTAAATCGTTGGTACTTCAATCATGCTTTCCCTGAGCTCCCCYGGGCTCGGGATCGGGATGCTCCGAGCCTGTCTGTGAGCATGCTTTGCTGCTGCCCAGCTGTACCCGAAAGTTAGGCCTCCTGGCTCCAATGTTGCTGTTGTCTAGAGATCTCTCTCTCTCTGCAGGTGAAGAAGGCAAGAGCTCTGCATTTCTTGGAATGCACAGGGCGATATTCTAATTGTAGACTTGTTCATATTTCTATATTTATTTTTCGAACATATCATCATCCTTGGATTTAGTGATGTACGTCTTTCTAATTGATTTTTAAAGGTTTAGTTTTTGGAAGTGTCCTACGGAATCAAGACAATGATCCAAGCACTTTGCTTTCTTTTAACCTAAAGGTTCATGACAACTGTGTTTAGTGTCTAAAAGTGTATGAAAATCCTTTATTGTTTTATTCTCTCAGATGTTTAGCAATGGGTTCTCTTAATAAATATATTATCAAGTAACTTCTTGAAGCTTTTTTTAAAACTTGACCAAGGCTTTCATCTGGTCACTGCACGATAAATTTCAGCTCCTTGAAAGGATGCTTTGGATGAGGAAATGCCTGGAATTCTYCCCCCAAAGGAATCCCCAGCAGCGGGACATGAACTTCTCACRGCCAACAGGATCGGGTATCAAAGGGCTGGCACAGCCCTGGGCCCAGCAGCAGCAGGAAATGACTCATTGACACATCCAAGGCTTCCTCCAGCGTGTCCTGGCAGGAATGGGGCCTGCAGTGACAGCTGGGAGAGTGTAAATTAAATTAAACCCTTCCCCGAGCTTTACTTGCACCCAGAAAACAGAACTACCCCAGAACCTGTTCCTGTTTGCTGAAAGAAATACCCAGCAAGGTTTTAGGTTTAACTCCCACGTGGGGTTGCCCCCCCCCCCCAGACATCAATAATTCAGGCACTGCAAGCAGAGTTCTATGTAAGGACAGCAGGAAAAGAACTTTATTGCAACATGCGCTAGAACTGGGCTGTTCAAACCCAAAAGCAAGGGATTACATCCATGGAAACTACTSTGGACCATGCTGGGCACAAATAATGTTTTTCCACAGTCAGAATTACCCTTTGCAGCTGAAATGTGCCAAGAGGCCAGGATGGCTCCTGAGCTCCTCCCTTCACACATCACTTCAAGGGCTTACTGGACTGTAACATTTTGGCTCAGACTTTTGGGTTTTTTTACCTTTCAGGTTTGGGAAAGCTTTGTTAAACAATTTCTTCACTCCTGTTCTAAGTTCCTTCATTAAGACATCCAGGATACTCAAAACCAARTTAGTATTTAGTACAGAATGAAGCTACATTTACATCCCAACAGTTTCCATTGGTACAAAGCAAACACGAGTCAAATTAACACTCATTAAGCAGTGGCAGGAACTCACAGGAGGCTGGATGTGAGTTCTGACCATCCCCAGGATACCAGACACTTTTCCAAATRCAAAGGCTGTGGAGATTTCACATCACTTTCCATTTATAACTAAGTTCTTAAACCCATGTTCCTCCTCGAGGATCACATGAAAGCAGGTGGCCTTGCTGTGACTTACAAGGTTACAACAAGAGAAAAAGAAAATAACACCAATTTCAGAGTATGAGCTCCTTATTACAAGCACCACGGATCAATTCTTACTCTACAATTCATGGACAAATAAAAGGCTCCTTGGCTGCTACTCTGAAAGAGCAGGAGTAGAAAGTCCTTCTCTGGGACATTCTGACAGACCTGAAGAGCACCAGGGGTACAGAGAGACCTCYCTGCTGTGCTCAGAATTGAGCTGCCACTGGGAGAACTCTGGGAGGAACTCCATGGAACCGAGCACACAGCAGCTGGAGACAACCCTGGACACATCTTTTCTCACCCTGTATCTTAAATTCCCAGTKTAGGCAAGTGAGGTTGTAATAGAATCACTGGTTCAGCACCAGCCTCCAAAAACCAGGACCTGGTTTTGTTTCTCACATCATGAAGTGAGAACAGACAAGTTATTGCTTTTAGTGCATGTGTTAATTAGTCCGGTTGCTCAATTACTTCTCCCTTCCACATACAAAGATGTTCTAAGAGCTACATKAGGTTTGAAATGTGGAATGGATTACGCTACATATTTGTGCAGCAGATTTTTGTTCTTTCAACATCTGAGTCAAGATGTGCCCAGCCTGTGACATCCAYGTGTTCAGTGTCACTTCCCTTGACTCTGATATATCAAATATTCACACACAGCACAAAATGGGAATCAGTTGGTGAGTTTTAAATGAATGAAGAAGAAATTCCTGAGTCTGTATCAAAAACCAGCTCTGATATTTTTTCTCTCAAGAATCAGATTCCTCCTCCTCTTCCTCCTCCTCCTCCTCTTTATCATTCTGAAGACTGAGGTGTAACTCGGTTTGGTTGATGGCAGTTTCATTGTCCATCTGCCCCAGGGTCTGTCACRAGAAAAGAGCTGATTATCAAACCCAGCAATGATACCAAATGCTTCTCAAATCACAATTAAAGCTGTGCAGTCACTGTTAATTAAAGATCTCAGAGCTAGAACTGCTGACTGAGAGCCCATGACAGCAGCAGTTCCCTGTTCTCCATGGAAAAGCTGCACCTGGGTCAGGCTGGCCATGTGCTGAGTGAGAAGCTGCAGCACCCGTGCCTCCATCCCCAGCAGCAGTGCCACCCCACGGTCACCAGTGCGACACCAAACATTTCACAAACTGTCAGCTGAACCTGCACCAGGTGGTGCACTCCCACCCCCTCGGGAAGAGGGTGCTGCTTTTGGGGACGGGAAAAAGGGAACCAACTGAAACATAAACCAGCAGCAAATCAGACATTCTACAGATCTGCAGTGATGGAAGCATGAGGTGAGCAGAGGAACGGTACAGGAGAGGCACGCAGAGCCCAGTTGTGCTGATGCTGACAGCTGCCGCGGGTCCCCTCACACCCCAGGGACCCCCTCACACCCAGGGACCCCCATACCTGCTGAGTGTCCTCGGCAAGGGCTGACAGCGGCACAGGGACGTTCTCCTCGCCGGACCTGATCATGGACTGCAGCGCCAGCTCCTCCACCTGCACAGAGCTGCACTGATATCCCTGCTGCTCCATTAACACACCCAACATGCCAGCCCCAGCACCCACCCCGGGCTGTGGGACACTGAACATTTCTGACTCCGAATTTTGGGATTTCTACCTGTCAGGCTTGGGAAAGCTTTGTTAAACCTTCTGCATTCTGTTCCAAGCTCTTTCATTAAGATATGCAGGAGTCTCAAAACCCATTTAGTCTTTAATTCRGCTACCTCAAACTATCCCTTCTCTATCCATCAGCTAAGGCAAACCATRCACAACTACGTTTACCTGTTAAGAGATGTATCCCACACACACTCACATTTATCTCTTGATGTATGCCACACTCACAACCACATTCATCTCTTAATGTATCCGATATACACTGACAATTGCAGGTCCTTCTCAGACCTGTCCCCTACCTCTCAGAGTACCAGTAGATGGATGCCATGTTCACAGAACACCTGGAACAAGGGCAGCAATTCACTGCTGCCCTTTTCGCTGACCCAAACCGGCGGAGAGCCCCTCCTGTGCTGGAGCGCGGCCGCGTTGCGCGGGCAGGCTCCGAGGGCAGGCCCGGCCCCACCGCGGTGCTCCCGCCGCTCCCGTCCCCGTTCCCATCCCCGTCCCCGGGATTCCCCGCGGTGTCCCCCGCACCCGCAGCCGGCGGAGCTGATCGTGCAGCGCCGCCTTGACCCGCAGCAGCGTCTCCTCCTCCCTGCGCAGCTCCTGCAGCCGGCTCAGCATGGTCCGCCCGCGCCGCGCCCGCAGCGSCCCCGCCGGCGGGGAGGAACCGCCGCGCCCCGCCCCGTGACGTCATGGACCGCCCTGCGTGACGTCACGGTGGCACGGCACAAACCGGGCGGCAGCCGCCACCGCGCGGTCACCGCTGGGCACAGCAYCCTGCGGCCCTTCCAGCGGGAATCGCGCACTCCCGGCTCCCGCGGGCTCAGGCACACCGCACCGCCCTCCTCTCCTCTTCCGGGAAATTTCCCCTTTARCCCCTGCACAACACCCACACCCGACACGGCTGTCTCTGTTCCAACAGCATTTATTGGTGACAAACCCCGGGCACAGCCCCTGCAGGGACCCCGGTGCAGCAGTGCTGCGGTTACGCCTCAGCCTTGCCCTTCGCCTCAGTCTTGCCCTTCGCTGCCGGCTTGGCTGTCTTGGCCGTCTTGGCCTTCTTGGCAGCGGGCTCTGCCTTGGGTGCAGCCGGGGCCTTGGCTGCCAGCTTGGCCTGGGCCTTGGCTTTCTTCTCTTCCTTAAGTTTGTGCTAAAACAGAYAGAGAGATCATCAATCAGTGGAACATGTGAATCACCAGCCCCTGCCCTCCGTGTGCCAGCCCCACTCACATTCTGGGCGTGCCGCAGGATGGTGTTGCGCCGCATGGTTTTGGCGTACGGGTTCAACTTGATCATGATTCTCAGGTTCTTCAGCGGGTTCTTCTTCAGGACCCTACGCTGAATCTTCTTCCTGAAAAGCACAGCCACGTATTACCGCATTTTGCAATGCCAGTTCTGCTAAATGATCCCTGAAATCTGGAAAACTGCAATTCCTAGTGTTCATACCAGAAATAAAGAAATCACAGCCTGAAAGAGATTTCAGACCTGCCTATAAAGCCTTTGTTCATTAGATAATCACTTACTTTGGAGCACGCAGGGCCTTCTGGATTTCCTGGCTTCTCATGATTCTTCCAATATCTGTATTGGTCATCTTGTGCATTGGCAGGCTGTGAAGCCAACATTCAGAATGTYAGTGGGTGATAAAACCATGGTTAATTGTCCAAAACCAGGCATTTAGGAGCAAGTCCCAGTATTCCTTTTCCTGGGAAAAAGGGTGCTGCTCTCCCAGCCTGCCTGGATGACTGCACTCACTTGTAGTCACTCTTGAGCGTGGCAGCCTTGCGCCAGGTGCCGTACAGATCGTCCAGCTTGCGGAAGGCGCTCTCTGTCCAGATGCAGAAACGCCCCACGTGGCCCCCAGGAGCAAGTCGCAGCAGGTTCAGCTTGTTCACATTGAGCAGAGTGATTCCTGGAGGAAATCAGGCAAAGCAATCCCTTTAGTTTCTAATTAAAATCAAGGWATGCGAGACTAAGCAACAGGTAAGAACACAGAAAGAGATTGGGGCTTTTTGGTTTTGACACTWGAGCTACATACACCTATGTATAAAAATCTGTCATTTTAAAATTAATAATAATCAGCTTTTTTTCCAGTGGCAAAACCAGCAAACTCATTTTTAAGTGCCTCGAATGCAGTTCAGGGTTGGGAGCAGCTGTAGAATTTGTCACAAACACCCCCAGTACCACCAGAACAGGTTCTTACAAAGAACGTATCAGACACTGCAGCAAGTCAGAACTTCCACACAATCATGTGTTTCAGAAACACGGACCAATGAAGTGGAATCTCATCATTCCAGGCAGTCTCCCAGCAGAAGAGTGACCATGTCCCAGGTCAGTTACCTGGAATATTCCGGAAAGCTCTGATGATGCCGTTGTCCTCATTGTAGATGATGCAGGGTCCCCTGCGCTGGATGCGGCGGCGGTTCCTCATCTTACCCTTCCCRGCCCGCATGCGCTGGGAGGCGTAAACCTGGGAAAAGGGACAACTGTGAATATCCCAACAGCCCAAATCCCACCTGGGAGACACAATGAACTGCTTCAGTCAGAACTTCACAATCATCACTGMGGATCTGCAACACGGACCAGTGAGAAGTTCATCATTCTTATCAGTCAAAATACTAAACTACTTGAAATTCCTACTTAACAATGGCTGAATTCTATCATTTGTTTTGCTCTTCAGATCTTCCCAGCTCACCTTTTTGATGTCATTCCAAGCTTTAAGCTTCTTCAGGAGGAGAACAGCTTCCTTGGTTTTCTTGTAGCCCTCCACCTTGTCYTCAACAACCAGAGGAAGCTCTGGAATCTCCTCAATGCGGTGGCCTAGAGAGGATTTCACAAGACACTATGTTGCTCACTGAYSTTGGATGGACCTATTCCTCAAAGTYATTGCTTTGTATAATGATACAGGATAAATTAATTATAAAAATTAATGAMATAAACTCAGGCACAGTAACCCGAGCAGTGGAGTTTCAGTGGAGACSTAGAAGTCTGTATCAGACAGGACTTTGCATACCCAAGTACTGAGGAAATCTTTGCTTCCATGAACACAAACCAAATCGCACTGCAAGACTCCTTTGGAGTCACCASAAAGTACCAAACATGGGCTCAGACAAACAATTCCAGAGCCTGAATTCCCACCTTTAGACATGACCAGTGCTGGGAGGGCAGAGGCRGCCAGAGCAGAACAGATGGCGTAACGCTTCTGCATGATGTTCACTCTGYGGTGCCAGCGCCGCCAGGTCTTGGTCGGGGCGAACATACGGCCGCCGCGACACATCTGGGAGCTGCAGTTAAGAACAACTTTTTGGAGCCTTCTTATCCCAAAGTGAGTCTCTATTGCTTGCTCAGCATTAAAGGGTCGTCAACCACCTGTGCCAGGACTCTGACAGCAGGCAACTGTCCCTGAGCACAGGGTAAGGCGCAAATTACGACATCATGGCAAGGCAGAATGGGTYACACAGTTCAAGAGTGGGAATCGCATCAAATCAAGTCTGAGCTGCAGCCATTACCTCAARTAAGGATTCCATCTCACATTTAGATAATTAACAACTTTTCTGCTGGCTCAGTTCAATGCCCCCAAAGCCAGCACAGCCACGGAAGGATACATTGCCAAAGGCACCCTGGCCTGAGCGGTGAGTGCCACCACCCCGGACTCGTGGGATACGGGCAACAGCTCTCCCAGTACCCCATGACTCSGCACTGGTCTGGTGACCTGCAACAGAAAGAGGTTCATTCAGAGAGTGACATCACTGTGATTGTCCCAAAGTCAGAGAGGTGCTGAACTYGAGGCACCAATCAGAACTTCCACACAATCATGTGTTTCAGAAACACGGACCAATGAAGTGGAATTTCATCATTTCAGCAAAACAAATCCTGATTAGGAAAATTTACTCTTAGTCTATTAAGGTAACTTGATTCTGACCTAAGATCTTTAACACACTCATTTTTAAACTTGATCCTCAATCTGGAGGCCTGACTTGGCACTGCTATACCTAGCAAATTAAGATGTTCTTGTGAAACTTAGAAATTAGGTTAATAAGGCATGTTCCTAGCAGAGGCTTCTTGGGAAGCAGAWGTTATCTGCACCTACAACTGAACCAACTAATAAAGACCCATTTGCAGCCGTTTGTCCTTAGTAAATGCCTCAGTCAAGTCTCACAAGGTCAATTTGGAGCAGGGGTTTTCACCTAAAACACTTYCAGGTATTTTATGTTCTCTTTGCAGAGAATGAAGATTCTACTTGAGGACCTTGGCACTGTGATACTTCCAGAATATGCACTTCAGGTAAGACCCCAGAACAACCCAAAACAACACTGATGCTCCTCAGAATAATAAAACACTGTATTTCAAACCATTTAAAATCAGACTATTAATCACTGGCCTTGCCTTCTATACAGMACCCTTCTGACAAGCACTTCTCTTATCTCAATTCCAGCTTTATTTCTGTTTGAACCCAGCAGTCCTGGGCTGGTTTCTGTGCCCCARTGGCAGCCGTACCTGCGAGCTCGCTGACGGCGTAGGGCTGCCGGTTGTTCTTGCGCAAGTTGGTGTGCACGAAATTCACAACATCGGGCCGGATGGGCGCCTTGAACACGGCGGGCAGCGTCACGTTCTTGCCCGACGCCTCTCCCTTCTCGGAGTACACGGAGATCAGCGGCCGAGCGCAAGCCTGGGASAGGAGAAGCTCTTAAGTGCAGGTAAAATAAAACTTCTGGCAATGCAATTCTTTAAATATTGCTCAGAACAAAGGAGTCGTCAGCTCAGCAGTGCCAGCAYGCTGACAGCAGGCAACTGTCACTGAGCACTGGATAAGACGCAAATTACGTCATCACAGCAATATTTCACTCAAACTTGTGCTCCCCAGCACAATCCATGTTCAGAAAATGACACCAGAGGCTTGAAATTGAATAGATTTCCAAGGCATTTGGGCAAAATTGATCTAGAGTTGAATTTCTGGGCTCCTTAATAAACCCCTTCACAACTACTTCCTATCTATTACCAACAGAGTGAAGTCTGGACCCTCTGAACAATCTCTGATCCTTGAAACATTGTGCAGTGAAAAATTAAACTGCCCTCAGCACCAGCTGCCTGCCAAAAGGAGGCCCAAAAATAGCTACAAGTCTGAATACTACCCTTTAAAAGTAATTTTTTTAGCACTACATTATATTGTTGTTAATTAATCTCGTGTTAATAGGCAAAGCATCTTCATTTCCTTTCCAATCTGCAGTTCAATTTAAAGGTATTAAAAATACTACAGAACCCAAAAAACTAACCAGCTAATAGCAATGGAAGGACCATCTCTGCATGTGACACTAGTCATGAGCAAGGCTCTGGCCCCTAGTGTTCACCCAGTGACCCCAATACAAGCAACAAACTTAATCAGGGCGAAGGAATCAGTGCACAATCTGAACTGCACTGGCAATAAAATTATTAATTTGCAACCTGCTTCTAGACGAAGACCTCTTAAAACCTGTTTTGCAACAAAAGCAGGTTAAAAAAGATATTTACAAAAGCCTTTCTTCCCACTGTACATGGGCGCAAATGTTCCCGTCGGGCCTGTTTTGCTGTAGATAAATAAAGTAAGGTAACTATAACGCGCTGCCAGATGGCGATGAGTGCCCATCTCGAGGAAAGACGGACTTTACGCGGAGCAAGCCGAGCTCTCGCCAGAGCTCAGCCAGGCCCGGCCCCGCTCGGTCCCTCACGGGCTCCACGCGGCCGCCGAGCGCTGACGGGCCCAAAATGGCGGCCGCGCGCCCCATGCCGCCAGCGCGGCCCCCGAGCTGCCCGTGGCTCGGCCCTGTCCGCCGGGCCCGGCTCCCCCAGCCCGGCCCCGCTGCCCGCCCCGCTCCCCCCGCGGCTCCCTGCGCCCCCGGGCCGGGCCCGGCGCTCCCCTCACCATGGCGGCGGAGCTGCTCGTGCGGCCGCCCGTCAGCGCCGCGCCCCGACCGGAAAAGGAAAGACTTATTACCCACGCCTCGCTACGTCAATGTCCCTCCGCTCCGTGCCCGCCGCCTCCACCGCGCCGGCCCGTGAACTCCCGACCCTAGTCCCAGCCTCAGCTCCAGCTCCACCCCCGGTCCCGTCTCGGTCCAGATCCCTCCGGCCCCGCCGTGCCCATCTCGAGCCTTTCGGGAGCCTCTGTTCGGCTCAATTCTCAGCCAAAGCAGGGGACTCTCTTCCGGCGGAGGGATCCGGCAGGACGCGTCACCCTCCCCTCACAGCCATCGCTAGCGCCGGTGGGCGGGAGGTTCGATTGTGGAAATGGCGATGGCGGCGGAGCGGCGGCGCCGGGCGGGCGGCGGCCTGAGCGGGCTCCTGCTCCGGTGGGGATCGGGCTRTTCCCGGGGCTGTCCGGCCTCCTGCTCCGGTGGGGATCGGGCTATTCCCGAGGCTGTCCGGCCTCCTGCTCCGGTGGGGATCGGGCTRTTCCCGAGGCTGTCCGGCCTCCTGCTCCGGTGGGGATCGGGCTRTTCCCGRGGCTGTCCGGCCTCCTGCTSCGGTGGGGATCGGGCTGTTCCYGGGGCTGTCCGRGCTCCCGCTCCGATGCAGATCGGGGTCACTGCYCTGGGTCTCCGCTGCTCTGCTGAGGGATGTGTGGCTCTGTTTGTGGGGAGGCTGCKGAGGCGCCGGTTGTCGCCCTGGGTTGTTCAGTGTATGTGGCTAATGTTGCTGTTTAATGAGGAACGCTGAGGGGAAAGGTCGTGTATCTCAACATTTTGGGTTTTTTTTAGAATACGTGAAGAAGGAAAGGATCGTATCCCTGAACACCCCTATCTCTATGAGGTAAAATCATCGACTGGTGTGGGTTGAAAGGGAGCTTGAAGATCACCCCATTCCATCCTCTGCCAGGTCAGGGAAGCTTCCACTGTCCCAGGTTGCTCCAAGCCCTGTCCAACCTGGCCTTGGACACTGTCAGGGATCCAGGGGCAGCCACAGCTTCTCAGGGCACCCTGTGCCAGGGCCTGCCCTCCCTCAGGGAAGGATTTCTTCTCAATATCCCATCTAAATCTACTCTCTAGCAGTTGAAGTCATTCTCCCCTGTCCTGTCACTCCACTCTCTTGTGAATGGTCTCTCTCCATCTTTCCTGAAGGCTCCCTTCAGGTACTGGAAGGCTGCAATTAGGCCATGAATGGATGCAATAGAATTGAAAAACACTGTGGAATGATTGAATTTTGCAATTTCTGGTAGAAAAAAAAGTTGAAATGCAGTGTCTCCATGCAGCGTCTTTAAAAGCTTTAACTATTTTTTGTTTGCAGACTGATGTGGAGATCTCATTGGTTGGTAGCAGTTGCAAAAGTCCCATTGAAAGATTTTGGAATGGRAGCAGTGCAGTGTATATTTTGCAGAAAGCAGTAAGTGTGTGTGGTAGACATTAATTTTGTTAAATGTAATCCAAACTTTTGCATTCCCATCAGATTTTTTGACACACCTTGCCGTTTTTGACTTACTTACACATTTCTTTTGAAGACACATAATGAAGAAACTGACTCAGTGGAAGAATCAAGAASAGATGATGCTGTTAATGCCTCTGAGCTTTTGCCAAAGGAGCGTGCTGGASCCCTGGCTCTTTCTGTTGGAAGAGCAAAGTAAGTGTGGAAGCTTTCCCTCCCCTTTTGAGGTAGTTTTCTTTTGCAGTTTTGTGTCTTCTTCTAATATTCAGAACATGTATTATTTTCAAGTTTCTARTTTCTGTCCCCAAAATTAAATTCCACATTAGTTTCTGAGGAGCTGTGACTGTTTTCCATCCTGCAAAATGAGCTCCCTACTTTTAGTACCTAAAAGTGTTTAAAAAAGTAGCTAAAATCAGGTACTAGAAAAACACTTGTGAACTGTGCTATTGGGTTAATGGGATTCACTGGATGGAGACGAGCAAAAAAGTTCAGTAAGACTTCAGTGCTTGTTTTTGTTGTRAAGCTTCTGTTAAAAAAATGCCTAAAAATCTGATTTTGGGTCTTAGGTGTTATTAAAATACTGAGCATGGTACCAAAATGTGGTTTGCCTAACTAATCTATTCTTTTAATTAGCTTAAAATATAAAATTCAATTACAGTTTTAGAATTCTAAGTTTAAATTAACATACTGTGTTATTTGCTGGCATCTTATTTTCTCCCTGTTCTCATTTCTAGGCAGTTGATTTCCTTGTACACGATGGTGCAAAATCCAAACATGACCTACCTGGGGCTGAGTGACCTGGTTGTGCTTCCTCCCCTCTGGGTCAGGTGTGATGGTTCTGATCCTGGGCACACCTGCTGGATTGGAGCTGAGCCTCTCAAGGCTGGAAATAAARTCACAGGGGTCAATATTTACATCGTTTCATGTGATGGTAAGGTGATCATGCTGCACAGAAAATTAAAGCAAGGCTTAAGAATGTGGAATACTGATGTCATGCTGCTCTCTTTGTTCTTTGTATGATACTGGCTTGGGGATGCTCTGTGTTCCTGGTTTTAATAAACAGGAGATTAAAAAAGAGAGAAAAGATRTTTTAAATCAGTACTGTCTGGTGGAAATACCTTTTTAATAAATTTAATGCACATGTAGCTGTGCAGGCCTACCTCCACTCAGGTGCAATAACTGCAGATTTAAACAGCTTTATTACACAACCGCTGATTCATATTAAACATCTGGATGTTCACACCATCCCTTATAATCAGTWGGAGAAATRCAAGGAGAATCCYTGCTTTCCAAAGGATAGCATGAGTCATGCTGGACCAAATGGAGTATTTCAGAATGAATTTGAAGTGCTAAATATGAATTGTGTCAAATGGGTTTTTTGATTCTCATTTTTTTCCTTTCCTAGGTCCTACAGCTGACAAAACCTGTTTTGCAAACCTGGAAGAACTCAAAATGGAACATAAAATAAGACATCATTCATCTGTTGTAGGTTTATATATTCTCTCATAGCTTCAACTTAAGTTTGGGCTGGTTTGGGGAAGCTTTATAGATCCTCCATAAAAATTCACCTCTAGTATAAGAGTCTGATTTCGGGTAATGATCATAATGTATGCCTGGTATTAACCCTTCTTTGTGTGCTTGTGAAATGCTTTTTAAATGATTGTGGTAGGTTTGTTGGTTTTATTTTTTAAATCTGTTSTTTCTAGGTGACAACAAAGGGATTTGCTCAGTATGAACTGATTGCAGCTGCTGCAATGGAGGACACCATTGCAGAATCTGRAAGCAGTATCTATGTGGATATTACATGGAATGGTGTGGATAAGATTCTGGAGACTCCCCCACTGATCTCAGCTGCCACCCTGGTAAGTCAGGATGGAGAAGCAACAAACCCAAGCTCTTTGCACAATTTGTATCATGAGCAGGGTAAAGGATAGAAAATAGAAACAACACAACCTTTTTATAATCTAAAGTGATGCTAACACACTTTACAATAATGAAAATTTTAGGATACTTAATTTCTAAAGTTTGAAACTGAGATATTTTGGAACTTTCAGAATATTGCCCTGGAGTCAGGGGACCCCAGAAGTCCTGTGTTCCAGCTGTACCGAGAACTGCAGTTCSTCTTGGTGAGTACTATGGAGAAATTCCAATTTCACACTTGCATGGAATGGTGATTTTATGTGGTAATAATTTGCTTTATTTAAAACTTCATCAAATGTTTCAAAGATAACTTCAAGTGTTTATTTTAGCTGAAACTCTGAGTTCAGTTTTAGAAATCTTGAATACAAATAATGCAGGAAATTCTAGAAATTTGTAACCCCTAGTTAGCTGGGTAGAGATTTGATTCTTGGTGAAGTTATCTTTGAAATATGACACATGCAGGACTCCCAAGAAGAACTGATTTCTGTTGTGATTTTCCTGCTGCTTTTAGACTCTGGCTGAAGGTTTGAAGACGGGTGTGACTGAGTGGCCTGAGCCATCAGAGTCTGAATCAGCTCTTAAACTGGTCCAGGAATTTTTGACTGGTAATTGCTGCTTGTTCCATGAGGAGGGAGGATGTAGCACTTCACAGGAATAAAAGGGAATTCCACATGCAACTTTTAAAGCATTAGAACTAGAAATGTTCATTTCTGTGCTGTAATCACGGCACAGAGCCGTTAAATAGGTTAATAGATAAATGTCATTTTTCTTTGTCCTAATGTCATCTATCAAAGTAATAATAATAAAAAATACTTTAAAAAAGTCTTTTCAGACTATATCCTTACTTAGTAAAAYCATTTTTAAAAGGAATCAATTCTATTGTTCAGTGTATTTGTTAGTTATGACGTGCCTGGGGATTAATATGATTGGTTTGATGACTTATTTTCTCAACTCTACTAGATTTAAAGAAGAAGCTGGATGGTGATTGTATATCTGGAAACAAGAATGAAACAGAGGTGTGTGCAATTTGCTAACAGCTTTGTTACTTACTTCCCTCACAACTGTGGTTATTTCAGATTTTGGCTATATCTCGTCTGTTATTTATATGTGTAAATACATAGATAAAAAGATTTAAAGAAAGATGGGTCTCTTGCTTTCTGTCTCTGCTGTGTAAAAATAATGGAAGAAGGTCTGATCTCTTCCAGGAATTCTGACCTTTTGCCATTGCATTCTATCATTAATTTTCTTGCCTAATTTACTGATTTGGGGCCAATTAAATGGTATCAGAATATGTGTCCTCTTTATCTAAAGATTTATGATATTGTAAAGCAATGGGGAAATTCAAATTATAAAAGTATGTTTGGTTATATTAAGATTTTTCCCCTCTTAGTTTACAAGAAAAAGTTTAGGTCTATTTTCTGTCAAGAGAGAAGCAGAATATTCTTGATATTCTAAAAATATATTTCTGTTGTTTTAAAAATATACTGATTTCTGTATCAACTAAACCAGAAATATTCTGTATCAGGATTATAGGAGAGTAGCTCTCTGTTCTGAGCATTTGTGTGTCTGGATTTTGACCTCCCAGGGCACTGCTGGACATGCAGACAATGCTTGGCTGGAATCTAAAGTCTYTCTGACAGTAGATTTTGTTTCCTGGCCCAGTGTGTTAATTCTGGAAAGAAATTGTTACAAAGAKAAGTGTTACAATTTGCTTCCAAATTACTGTGTGGTAGTTTCCCTGGAAAAGAGGGGAAAATTAGTGATTTTGACGTCTGGAAAAATTCAGATTTGGAAGGTTTTTGAATCTCAGGYACCATTTTTCATTGAAAACCAATAAATTCTTTCAGAAAATCAAATGTGACACAGCTGCTGTGGACAGTTGCATAAAATCAATCTTTGGTGAGCGAGGAGACCTGGATTTTACTGAACAGTTATGGTGCAAAATGAAAAGTAAGTGCATTGTGCCCCATCTATTTTCCTTTCATTTTCCTCTTCTCTGTCTGCTAGACAGTACTGCTTTCTCAGGGAAATTGAGRTCCATTTCTGAGTTTTAAGGACTGATCTGCTCTTCAGAAAATTGGTATTGGCAGGCTCTTTCTAAAAGAGCCCATTTTAGGTATGAAGGCTGATACATTTTCTTTTAAACTTACAATGGCAGACCAGCATCTGGCAGGAGATGATTTCATTTTATGACTGCAAAAGGTAGTAAGCCATTGGTAATTTCCCTAAAACAAAACCTCTCTGCTCTAAAGCTGAAAACTTTTAAATTCTTTTTTTCTCTAGATCTGAAGGATAATTTTCAGTGTATATAGAGTTCAATGGTCTCTGTTGATCATTGTGTCTTAAGAGTAACCTTTTTTAAAATCATTACATGACAAAGCTACCAAAAAGCAGTGCAGTCTGTAATTTCAGCTCTCATGCTTTAATTGAAGGGTTTTGTTCTTGCAAGGGTGTGTTGGGCCCGTTGTTACCGACTTAACAACCAGAGAGAGCCTGGACACTGATAGTTAAAATATTGTTTCTTTTTCCAGGTGTCAGTTCCTATCAGGAGTTAACAGACTGTTTCACACTGGTTATAAAATCCCTGCAACTTGGTGAGATACAGCCATGGGTATGTATTTATATTTCACAGTAAGTGTTACAATTTTGGGTAATTTCCAGTAGAATGTAGYTCTTGTCCCTTCACTACCTCTCATTTGTGTTGTTTTTAAGTTGCTTTCAAATGTCACAGTTTGTTTCTCTAATGTTGAACTTCTGCCCAATGTTTGATATTTCATACACAAACAAAAAGACTTTTCACTTTCAGATTCATCAAGGGAGCAGCAGTTTCTTAAGTCAATTGATTCAACAGTCCTATCATGGAAAGATGAAAGAYATTTCCCTCAGTGACATCAGTCCCATTCAAATGCTCCTGGAGATTGGCTTGGAGAAGATGAAGAAGGATTATGTCAGTTTTTTCATAGGTGAGCCTGACACTTGGTAACAGCATTAGGAATTCGAGAGACAAAAAGTATTCCATGCAGGAAATAATGAACTTTTTGGTAACATCAATCTCRTCCCATCTGCTGGAGTGGAACTTTTAAATTTCAAAATTTAAAAAACTCATTTGTTTCAAAAYAAGTATAGCTTTGAGTTTTACCATTGTTGTTACCCCTTCATTTCTTTTTTGTCTGTCATCCTGTTTTCATTCTTTGTTTCATTTGCTTTTTTATTTTCACTACTTTTGTAAACTTGTATGTCCTAGATTTCTTCATAGGGCAGCCTTGGTGATAAATCATGCCTCTACCATGGCACTTGACAAGATTTTTCTTATTTGGAATGAATGATCATGTCAATAAATAATATCATACGCCCAGTGACTTCATACTTTTTTGGGTAGAATTCCCTGTTTGATCACCTGAATGTTGTATATTTCATCTGATACTATGCATTAAATTCTAATTTTTTTCTCCTGTTCATTTAACAGGCCAGGAACTTGCAACAGTAACCTACTTGGTGAGATACTTTATTTGTATTTTGAAACTCTGAAAGCATTAGAAAGTAGAGCATGCTTAGCTGATGGTGGGATGCTTGTCATATAAACTGAAAAACTSAATTGCAGATCCTGAGGCTGGAACAACCCACTGCAAAAATGTCATTGTTTTGTTTCCTTATTCCTAGATAATAAATTTCCTAATTCTTAGATAATTCCTAGATATCTGGTCTCAGTCATTGTCAAGGCAGTGAACCTTTCTCACACTTTAATGGGACTTTGTTCCGAGTTCAGCGGGCCATTCTAAAAATTTTGGCTTCTTCAAATAAGCACGAAGATGATTTTATTTACTGAGGGGTGTTGTGTGTCTGTAGAAATGGAGTGCTCAGGTAAGAGCAGAAGCTCTTTTCTGTTCCAGGATTACTTCATTTCCACATCAGTGGATCTCCAAGAACAAGTTCACCGTGTMCAAAAGCTTCACCATATGCTGGAAATAATGGTCAGCTGTACAGGCTTACTCCAGTTCAGACACGAGAACCTCTTTCCTTTGACACAGTAATTATTTCATTTTTACTTTTGCTCTTTAAATGACAATAACAAATACAGTTTGTTTAGAAAAGCAGCCCTCCTTATTGCTGATGATAGTGAGACTGCAGGAGAAGTTGGCTCTTCCTGCTAAATTTTGCTTTGTGACTAAAACTGAGAACTAAAAGAAATAATAAGATGTGACAGTATAGTTAATTTTGCACAAGGGTTGTTGTACAAGCATTTCTTTAAAGAAAGTAACTGCTTGATATCTCTTGTAGGATTTGTATGAAGTACTACAAGGAAAACCCTCTGAATGAGAAGCATGTGTTTCAGCTGCCCATCAGGCCAGCTCTTGTGAAGAAATTCTATCAAGAGTAAGAGAAATTTCAGTACTTGCAGCATAAAATTCAGATTATTCTGAATACCTGACTAAATTTTTATGTTTTTTGATTATTCTCAGTGATAACCCTGAAATCTGGAAGGTAGAGATAAGTAGTGGGCATGGACAGAAGGAGGTGAAAACAACGTGGCAAGTCAGTACTAATCCTCCAGTTGAACACAGGGCAGAAAACAATTCAGGTGGGGAATGTTTGTTGTGAAATGAAATAATGAAAAGTACAAACTTCAAACAAATTCAGGCTTTATACTGAGTTCAGTGGGTCTGAAGTATTTATGTTTACTTTTTAGCAAAAGCAAAATAATATTTTGCCTTTCAATAAAAGAGTGAGGTGGTATTTATAGTGTTTAAGATATTCAGAAAATGGTGACATTTTGCCTTCTCACCTTGGCTGAGTTATGTTTTCAGAGTTAAAATGACAGAATAGTTCCAAATATGAGATGATGGATATCCACAATACCTTGCACCTTATTTCTAAAATGTTTGCCAATATATCTGAGAATACTTGTTAACGCTGGTCTCTAGTCAGAGAAGATGCTAAGGGGAGAAGTCCTACCTTGCTGCAAGTAAATATAGAACGAATGGAAAAGCATCAGGATGGGGAAGAATTAAACAGAGAGACTGATACAGAAATAATTTGCCTTTTTGGGATGAGGTTTGGTAGAGTGTGATGATTTGATGAAGCTTTCCTGTTATTACGATTTTTGTCATGAAGTRCTTCAGTAAAACTGCAGCTTTGAAAACAATTCTTGAAGCTGCTTCCTGAGCTAATCTCTCCCATTTCTAATGAGTGGCTAATCCCAATTATTTCCTTTGTCCTTGCAGATCTCTTTTCTGACTCCACAGTAAATGGAAGCACTGAAGAAAGGCTGTATTTTATTACAATGACTCAGTGCAGTCAGGTGCAGTTCACATAAGCTGATGTTACTCTGCAGGCAAGACTGGAAAGGTACAGAAAGGGGGAAAGTTCAGTGGTTTTTGTCCCAACAGAACCTTTGGAAACACTCTGTGCTTCAAACAGTTCGTCATTACTGGCTTATTGGCTTTATTTTACTTAAGAGGGATCTACACAGCCACAAGTCACCTGTAGGCACCTAATTCGTTAAAAATGCAGTGCAATTATATTTTGTATAAATATTTTGTAAATAGAGTAGATGCTTTTCATATATTTACAAGCATTCAATAAAGTTGTGCACTTTGGGGTTTCGTATTTTATTTTTCTTCATTTAGAATGCAATCAGACACTGTTCAAAGTGTGAATTCTCTTAAYCAACAAACCAAGCAATATTGTCATGTTCTCCTGGTATCAAGTGATGTTTCATCATCCTGATGGATTTGGAAAGCTCTTCACCCAGGGCCATGTGATCTTCTGCCACCTTCTTTATCCCTGTATTTATATTTTGGAGTATTCTTGGATATACTTCTCTCTCCTCTTCAAATTATTATTTTCCTTCAATGTGAATTGAGTTATTTTAACAGTGTTGTCTTGTATGTTTTCCATAWTTTTTTGGAAAAAATCAGTATAATTGGCTGGGCATAATCATTTAAATATGTTGGCAGTTGCATRTGTTATGTTGATTATTCAGTGATGTAACATTTTGGTTGTCTAATTTTAAACAATTTCATAGTTTGATATATACTGACTAAAAAATTTGAGACAAACATTTTGCGTTAAAAACTTAACTATTGGTAAGTAAGAACAAGAAAAACTCCCAATATTCATGCTTTAAATATTATAAATTATATATTATTATTGGTGGAACATTACATTTTGGAAGTACTTTTAGATTACTTATAACCCTCATTTTTATGTGTAAYATATTATGAAGTTGTATAAGACAAGTCTGGCTCCCTGTAAACTGGACTGGAGAGATGTGGTTTAAATCTGATGCAGAAACTGTCATCTTGGTTTACTCACTTCAARCAACTCTTCTCCACACCTAAATAGCAAGGTATATATTCTCCTAACTTTTAGACTTGCATAAGTTAACATTTAAGTGCTCTGGGAACATTTAAGTCCTTTTATATTTTAAAATCCTGTGTTTGTCTTTCTTCAAATAGCAATTACATGGTAATCAAACTTCTATTGATGAACAGACTGAAATCAGAATTTGCAAGCAGCTTTTAATCACTTGAAATTTGTACTGTCAAGATTTGAATCCCTTTAATCTTAACTATTTTTTCTGGTGAACCAAATGTGTAAYAGTTTCCAAAATAATAAAGTTTGTAAAATCTGCTACTTAGAATTAGTGGAAAGTAATGCRGGAAGAGAATGGTAAAAACAGAAAGATGTTTTGGGAATTGAATAGAAAAAATACTAAAAGCTCTAGGTGGATAGGTAAATAATATTTCATTACAGGGGTATRAAAAGAGGCATCAGTGGTAAATTTTAACCACTCAAAACAGTTGCAGCTTAGTCCTTTTGGAAAATGAAGATGTGTGCAAACATCAATTTTAGCTATGGTTTCGAAGGTAGAATATGAGGAGGACAATACTGATGAGAATGCAGAGTGTGAAAACTGTAGGAAGAACAATCTCTGTCACCATTTCCATGTGAGTAATCAGGGAATCTAAAATTTGAGAAATGAGTAATATGTAAGAGATTTAATCCTCTGGAGCACAGTAGCTGCTAGAGTTAACCTAGAGTTAATAAAGGTTAAAGATTTTTTTGAACATAAAAATGTTCAAAATTGGCATAATGATATGACATTGCTATAAACAGCAAACAAAGCAAATAAAATTTCRTAAGTCTGCCAAAGCTGGAGTAAATCCATGATAGTTTTCCCTCTTTTTAAGCTAAATTTTTGAAGACTTGTGTTGGGGTTTCTTTGTTACCAGGGGCATCAAAGAGCYCAAATGTGGCTTAATCTTAGGCCARTCCTTAGCCCTTTTATTTTTTKTATAATTCCACTTCATATGGAAGTCAAACATTTCGAGATTTTCTGTCTTTGAGGTTGTCTTGATTTGTCTGGTTTGGTTTGTATTTAAAGAAGCATTCAGCACTTTTATTTTGAGGAGAATACTGTCATCCCCAATCTCAATTTTGAGTAGGATTTCTTCCAGTTCCTGTATTTCAGCAACATCCAAATCTGGTCCATATAGCGACAGTGGTTTTAACTGGAAAGATTTAAATGAAGACTTTTTTTTTAGAGGTTTGTGCTTTTGGGGAGAAAATACCTGTTAGCAGTATTCAGAGAGAAATTAAAAATCTGAAATTACASAATCTGCTTTGTTTTGTTCTATAAAAGACATGATTACCTGCAGCAAGGTGTTGGTGTGTGGCAGAGCAGGTGTCCATGGCCTTCCGATGCCAATTTTCCACCTGGGAAAGGTGACAATTCTGTTAGACTGCAGCATCCTACCTCATTSCCAGCAGCTTTCTCTCTGTCCCTCAACACTTTAAACTACTTTATTCTAGCAACACATGATTTTCTGAAAGTTTTTCTGTAGCTTTGTGGGTTTTGTTGCAGTGTATTTTTCCAAGTTAATTGTTTAATACAATTTTTTAACAGCACATAATATAGTCCATATTATCTTCCAGTCAGGTAGTACTGGAAATGTGTAGTTTTCTGCCTAGAAATCTGACAGCACTGCTAAATAAGTTCTGATGGAGAATTTTTGACTGCATCAATAAATCAAATTAGAGTTTGTGGAGTGGCTTTGGAAACAGTAATTGAGGCTGTTCCCACTTTCAGTGTCTCTGGAGATCTGTGTATTACACACTTCTCTAATTTACAGAATCAAAGTGTCACTTCAAGATGTTTCTGAAATTCAGTGTGCACATATATCAAAGAACAAGGGGAAAAAACCAAAACCAGGAGTTGACATCACCTCTCTTGGATTTGGGAATCCATTTGCACTGATAATCTTTTTATAGTAGTCAACAGATGCCTTTGGGTACCGTGGTTTGTTCTTGTGTTTGAAGTCAATGTGGTAAAGCCCAAATCTTTCGGAGAAGCCTTTGTTCCATTCAAATTTATCCAGCAGTGACCAGGCAGTGTAACCTTTGACATTAACACCATCATTTAGAGCTGTAAAAGAACACAGATCATTCTGGTAAAGGTGGGGTTTTGTCCTTAAAATACAGTTCTGTAAATATTTTGGTTTATGGCAGGAAGAGATGGAGGACAGCAAAATGAAGTACAAAGTAACTTAATTTAGATTCTTTGCAACTGTTGTCTTTCACTTAGAGGTAGTAGAGCTCTATGATGGTTATCAAGTGCAATTTCTCCTTTCTGAGAGTGGAAACTGATAATATATTGCACCATTAAATCTCATGTAGATTATTATATTTATTAGCATGAACACATTTGGTTAGGTTGTCATTGATAGGTTGTTGTTGAGAATTTATTAGTCCAGTTTGCTGTTCATTTTGAGTTGTGAATATTTCTCTATGATGTAAATGGCAAAAGTAAAAAAAAAAAGCAGAAGGTGAAACCACTCCAAAAGTCAAATCCTAAAAAGCTTTTTTAAATTAACCTTTCAGTATCTCATTGATGTATCCCTTCAGGTACTGTATCCTCCACTCATCACACAGTTGCGTGCACTGCACTGTTTCAGACACTCCATTCTCTGTTACATAAATCACGGGGTTCCCATACTGGGTCTGCAAACAGAAATGTTTAGATTGGTTCACATCAAATAATTTTATTTTGAYAGAATATGTGACCTAGCAAAGTGCATTAAAAGCAATTTTCTAGATTTACTTAAGTAAGAAAAGTGTGTAGTTGGAATTAAATTTTACTATRGGTTTATTTTAAAATGACTGAYTTCTMTATTTTTCTGAGCTGAAATTAAGGTTTTTTTTGACAAAGAAGATTCCCAGTATGACAAGACAAATAGGTGGAACTGTTGAAAATCTAAAACTAAACCAGGCATTTTGGTTGCTTCCTTTATACTTACAGAACTGCTCTACTCACCTTAATGAAGTTGAGTAATCGCCTGAACCCCCAGGGCACAGAGTAGAGCCACTTAGGGCCAGGAGCTGGCCAGTTTGGGTCCACCAGTTCAGCCAGGTCAGGGTCAGTGTGGTAACTGGACACTTGGAGAARGGGAAAGTTCTTCTGCAGAACATAACGAGTAGTAAAGTGCCCTATTCCCAGGAAATCCGAGGTGCCTTTTATATAGGTTTTCTCTTGCACTGAGAAAGTTGGTAATCTTGATGTCCCCAGGCCCTGCTGGGCACTCTTCCTCCCTATCAAAATAATTATAGGAAACATTTCTGAGGTGCATGGAAATTGCTTTTCTTTATCTCACCAACAATAAATCATAGACTTATAAAATCCTGGATGCTTTGGGTTGGAAAGGACCTTTAAAATKATCTCAATCCACCCCTGCCATGGGTAGGGACRCYTTCCATTATCCCATGTTGCTCCAAGCYCTGTCCAGCCTGGCCTTGGACAYTYCCAGGGATCCAGGGGCAGCCAYAGCTRYKCTGGGCATCCTGTGCCAGGGCCAAATATGGTTTTCCTGAATTTGGTGTTAATGTAGAGCACTTAAGCTAAATTGTTTTTTTAAGGTGAGATCATCTTTCATCCTTTTGCTTTGGAGAATTAAGTTGAGTATGATACATTGAGAAAACACTGGTTTAAAGTGTTCTGATGTGTCCCCAAACTGCTTAGGAGCCGTGTCCAGCCCAGGGGCCTTTGGTTTCTTTGCCGTGTCTCACCTATGCCCTCGCTTGATTAAAACATAGATTGGCCAGGAGTTATTCCCTTGTTWTGTACTGGAAGTGTGCATTCATGTTTTATTCAATTACTGGGACTTACCTACGTAATTCTTCATAACTTCTGGRTAGTCCCCTCTGTAAATGGGATTTGCAAACCATCCCAGATGGAACTGGATRTACCTTTCAGCAGCATCTCGGTCTGTTTGGCTGTGTGGATCAACAGGCTCCCCCCAGCCACTCGTTAAGGAAATTCCAACCATCCCTTAAAACAAAGAGACAATTCTGCAGTTCTTTAGGTCCTTAATATAAACAGCAGCAATCACAGAATGAATCCTGATTACCTCTCTGTTCCCTGCGCCATGTGTTGTTATAGGAGTGCCAAACCTTGGCATGAGTCTGTAAAAATAATGGAAAAATAGAATAAATCATGTGCACATTTTCATCTCTTATGCCATGGGCACTGTGGAGAGCTGGTGAGCACTTTATTCAATGAGGTCTGCCTGAAAATATCACAGAATTTCTTTTGTGTCTGTTACAGAAACTTTCATTTCATGTAAGACATCACAAAAGCCTTTATGCAACATTCCTTCCCTAAATTCCAGGAAATCCAAGTCAAGGTAACACACAGCCCTCAGGACAGGGTKCTGTCCCATGGCTCTGCTCTTTGGATGTCTTTGCCTAATTTATTTAGGCAGATGAATGCTAATTTTTACAGGAGACTTCTCAAGTCACTTGCAATATTCAGATTCATTCTAACAAGCCAGGATGTTACTGCCTGTTTCTAGATTAACCTGGATACTTTCTTTTTCAACCTACAAGAGACATTTGTATATAAGGAAAATTTAAGTTGTCACAACAGTGTTAAATCCAGCACCAGACATTGGTACTGCCTCGGATTATACACTGATGGTTTAAAACCAGGTGATCATTTCAATATTCTACTTGGAAATTACATCGTTGTGAAACTGTATTTCTGTTTAAAAAGTGAAATCTGGTAAAAATTCCTAATCTACACATAATTTCGAACACAATTTCAGGAGGTTTTTTTACTTTAATGATGTGATGAGCAGCCTTGTAGGCGCCGCAGCCGCCAAGCTTCAGTCCTGGAGCGTGTTCTCCTGTCTCATAGCCCTTTTCAGCCACCGCCTGCAARCACACAGAGTCAGTCCTTCTCTGGGCACCAGAGCCAGGGAATGTGCTCCATCCCATGGATCCTCTGCTCTCCTGCCTGGGCTGTCCCTCTCCAGTCCCTTTGCCCTTCTTTTGGCTCCCATTTCCTCCCCCACTGCCTGGTTCATGTCTTAACATTGCCCTAATGCAGCGTCTGCCCACTGAGATGAAGATTAATGGTTTGAGTTTTTCCCCTTCCCTCTCCCTCTCMATTTTTTTCACCTGCTCTCCTCTAGTRTCACTTCCACAGAATYTTGGGAACAGAWCTGTGGAATCAGAATGATTGGAAGGAAAGCATTGACTTACCCAGGGATTGCTGAATGTAATCCARTGTTTCACACGATCGCCAAACTTCTCAAAGCACAGATTTGCATAATCATTAAAATAATTTATCATGCTTATATTCTGCCAGCCACCATACTTTTCTTGAAGAACCTTTGGAAATACGAATTTCAAGATTTGATAATTGTACTTCAAGTTCCACTGCTG